CATCATCATCATCAACAACAACAACAACAACATCATCATCATCAACAACAACAATGTCAACATCATCATTATCAACAACAACAACATCATCATCAACATCACCATCATCATCATCAACAACAACATCATCATCATCAACAACAACAACAACAACATCATCATCATCAACAACAACAATGTCAACATCATCATTATCAACAACAACAACATCATCATCAACATCACCATCATCATCATCAACAACAACATCACCATCATCAACAACAACAACAACATCACCATCATCAACAACAACAACAACAACATCATCATCATCATCATCATCATCAACAACAACATTGTAAGGTTGTACTCGGCGTGACGTATAGGGTGTACCGGCCGGGTAATGAGTAACGGTAGTGGAAGACGCAAAGCAAACACGAACTAGAAGCGTAACGTATCACAAACACGTATATTGTGAGCCATGATAACAGGGATTTACAAATAAGCCGTGACGCGTACAAGGGACGTGCGAGACAACAGTCGGGTAGAACAACAGGGAGAGGAGTTCTCCCGCTCCAAGCGCGGCGCGCCTTTTATATGCGCCCGGCCTTCGCGACCGACATCCGGGCATTATCTTCTCACCTCCTGAGCTTCGCCAGGTCGCATGTCTATGCGACCTGCGATCGTTGCTTCGCGAGCACCGCGTGCCCCCCTCTCCGCACTCCCTCTGTCGTACCACGCTATCTGCTCAGTTTATTAAACACACACGCTTGCTAGGCGTCCTGAATAAATAATGAGCGCGCGCGATGCTAGCTTGCACGCCAGCATCGCTACATCACCTCCCCTTCGAAAAAAATATTGATTGCCCCCGATCAGAGCACAAGTGGGCGGATTGCGAGAGCGTGACACGGGTGCTGTTCCGTTTTCGCGCATTTCACCCACGAAAATATAATTTTATGTGCGCGGGTGCGGTACGTTAATTTTTCACGCTTTATTCTACGTTATTACAATCGCGTATGCTATTGCATAGCGTTTTCGCGCATACAGGTAGTTTCTCTATATCTTATACTACTCTACTCTACTAACTATAAACTACACGCGCGCACGGACACGCGCACACGTAAAATGTCAATACATATAAATACACACATGTAAATACGCGCAATGTTATGATTACAATGGTTAAATATTGCTTGTGGCTTGCAGCTTGTCTGTCGGCGTCGTTCCTTGGGACGCGTCACTCAGGGGAGGCTAGCTCGTACCCGTTGCACGCTCCAGTCGTGGAGTCGTGCTGGGGTCACTAACCCAGGAGCAGACGCGGAGGGTAGGTGGGGGTGAACGGGGCCGCTCACGTCACTCCCCCTCGAGTCGCGACGAACGTAGACGGACGCGGGACTGGACCCCTTTTCGTCGTCCGGCTGTCGTCGGTCATCAGCCGTGTTACATCGGCGACTCGTAACCGTGGTCCCTCACGTCGCCGGTGTCGTCTTCGTCCCATTCATCGAGCTGCTCAGCTTCGTAACTCATTGGAAGTGCCGTCGTGTGGAATACGAATGTTTGAGGCGGCGGTGCGCGGCCACACCCAAATTCTCGAGCCCCTGTTAGACTCGCCCCCGTGGGTTACGGCCCGTGGGTGGTTTGCCCTGCGGGTTGCGGAAGTGATGTAGCGATGCTGGCGTGCAAGCTAGCATCGCGCGCGCTCATTATTTATTCAGGACGCCTAGCAAGCAGAGGTGTTTAATAAACTGACCAGATAGCGTCGTCGACAGAGGAAGTGCGGAGAGGGGGGCACGCGGTGCTCGCGAAGCAACGATCGCAGGTCGCATAGGAATGCGACCTGGCGAAGCTCAGGAGGTGAGAAGATAATGCCCGGATGTCGGTCGCGAAGGCCGGGCTCATATAAAAGGCTCGCCGCGCTCGGCGCGGGAGAACTCTTCTCCTCATTGTCCGTGTCGCACGTATATCCCTGTTACCGTTGATTTACTGTTGCTTTGCCGTTGTGTTCATAATGGCTTATAATATATGTGATTGTGGTACGTTACGTCTCTATTTGGTCTTTGCTTTGCGTCTCGCACTACCTTTATCATTACCTGGTACACACTATACGATCAGGCCAAGTACAACCTTACATGTACATGCTAGACCAACACGAATTTCAATGCATTTCATCAGCTAGGCACCGCGCATGGCAACGGTTTGTGTGTGCGTGTGGGTGTGCGTTGTGTGTGTGTGCGTGCGTGTGCGTTTGCGCGCGCGTGTGTGTATATGTGTTTGTGTGTGTGTGCGTGCGTGCGTGCGTGCGTGCGTGCGTGC